GGTGTCAATGACTACATGTGTGTATATTGCAAGTATTGGCTATTAGGTGCGGTCGTGTATTTAATGTAGGAATCCATACCAATAGATCACATGAGATTGCGTCTTTTGCTCCATTTAACCCGTAAGAGTGCAATCCAGCAGACTGTTTTCCACTCTAGTGAAACGACTACTTTCACTCTTTTTTCGGATCTTAGTTTTTCTAACTCTCTGGGACGTAACACAAAATTACAGCATGATAACTAGTAGTTTCTAACCAAGCCGTCCTTCATTTGTCAGTATCCCAGCCTCTCCTATTTCTCCTTTTCCACCTTGCTTTTATTCTCTCACTCTACAAATGAGTATACTCTCTACACTAAAAGTACCCTAGGGAGACGACGCACGCCACTCCCGTAACAAATGAACCGCGCAAAGCACATTTGGGTGGCCGAAAGAAAAGCATACGCAGTTACATTAAATGTAACACAAATTAAGCATAATTCTATCCAATTATATATATGTGCAGAAGGTACAAAAACAGACAAGATAGATAGATAGATAGATAGAGAGAGAGAGAGAGAGAGAGAGAGAGAGAGAGAGAGAGAGAGAGAGATAGAGAGAGAGAGAGAGAGAGAGAATTTCATTTAACTTTATTTGAAAAAAAAAAACAGTTTACAAGTCCTTCAAAAAGCCAGGTAGGGGTGACGAAGCACCTACCAGACATTGGCTGAACTGACGTAAGAGCCAGAGTCAAACATTAAATATACAAGCCTAAAGGGCTGCTCCATAGTGCTCGCCTTATTTGTTGACTTATTTATTAAAAAAAAAAAAAAAAAAAAAAAAAAAAAAAAAAAAAAAACATACACAGACATAAACGAACAGTATTTCATTAAACTCTAGTTATTCCAAGAAATTACGGTACACTTAAAGTCACTGTAGATCATCAATTGGCAGCTGATGGTATCCAATATCTACTATAGGCTGTGGGAAGGCAAAGGCAAGGACCACTATTAACATTTTATTTAGAACTGCAGTTACTGAGCAAACTGTTGCTGCACCATGTACATCATTTGTTCTATCTTTTGCAACAGGTCCTCACTTCGCTCTGCAGTAGAGGCTGGTGCTGTTTGTGAGCTTTTGTTGGTGCCGGTATAGTTCTGGAGCAGATGTTGAAAGTGATGTCGATGCTGTAGCAAGTGCTGAATCGATGCCATTGTTGAAACAGGTGCAGAAACTGACAGTGAAATTGCTGAAGCAGAAGCAGGCGCTGAAGCCGATAGAACGTCTGCTTTTGTGCATTATGCCTTGCCATAATCATTCAAGGAATTCCATCTCATCCGTAAGGCGAGATGGTGGGTGGGGGTTTCGAGAAAGGAGAACAGCTATGTTTTTTTTTCGATATTTTTCCTGTCTGTCAAATAAATTGCGGGTAATATTTACCATTTGCATTATGCTTAAATTTGCAATTAGCACATTTCCAAGGAAGATGATTACTCTGTGATTACTTTTTATTTATTTATTATTATTTTTTTTTTTCTTTTTTTGCACATTCCTTGCTCACGTGATCGGCCACAGAATAACGGCAACACAGGAGCTCGCGTGGCCGAGCGTTTGCGCGTCTCGAGTCTCCATTTTGAATAGGTGGGGCGAAATGAGGTGAGTAAATTGAAAGCAGCACACCTGCCTTATCAGAGTTGGTGACTTGGAAATTTTCTCACCTTCGTATGTTATGATTAGTGGCTGTGTCGTTCTTGTTATTGATTTTTATACGCTTCAGACATGAAATACATCGCGGGTAGTAGAGCAACCTTTGCCAAAGCTTTGTTTTCAAGGATATCCCCTGCTGCTTCAATTTGTAGATGTGCGTGTAAGAATTCCTTCGCTCCTAACCTATCGCGACCAAGTTTTAGTTCTAGCGCTCCCTTAGTTTTGCTAAAAGTGGACATCTCCAGAACCTGAGACACCCATCGGCATTTGTCTCCATGTGTTACCAGCTTCGTGTTCCCCTTGAAATGTGAGCATAGATGTCCGGGAGATACAACTTCGACAGACTCCTTAACTTGAGTGTCTTGTGTTTTCTTTATACGTTCATTTTACATATTTGTACCACTTAAGATATCCATCATGGTCAAGATAGAGCAGTTAGCTTGAGGTTTCGTTGTTTAAACAGACGTCCTGATGTCATGTCTTAAGCCTAAAGTTTGCTAATGCAACAGACCTCACCTGTTTGATACGGATATGTTCAAAATTAAAGATATCTTTGTTTAATTTCCACTGTAAGTCATTTCCGATCTTTATAGATGTATGAAAACGGTCACACAATAGTTTTCCTCTTTCTGTGATACTGGCAAGTAATTTTAGAGAGAGAGAGAGAGGGGGGGGGGGAGATAGAGAGAGAGAAAGAAAGAGAGGGAGAGAAAGAGAGAGAGAGAGAGGAAGAGGAGAGAGAGAGCGAGAGAGAGAGAGAGAGAGAGAGAGAGGGAAAGAGAGAGAGAAAGAGAGGAAAGAGACAGAGACAGAGAGAGAGAGAGAGAGAGAGAGAATTTGGGAGAGCGAGGGAGAGATTTGCCTCTAATCTGAATGCCGTCCCATTCCAGATATCATGAGTTTCCTTCCATCTTCATACCGTGTCAGAATTCTCCGACATCTGCAAAAATGATAACATATTCACGTAGCCGTTGCTGCTGGCATTCAGCATTTCCAATATCCAGAACATTCTTTTCCCATTTGCTTAAAATCTGCCAGCTCAAAATTTGTCCTTAAAATTCCGGAAACATTTTTGATAAAAATATATGGCCTAAATTTTTTGGGGGAACAAATGGATTTACCTTGTACTTCAGGAGTTCGGGTTTACTTCCATGGATACATTACTTTATATATATAGATACATATATGTCTACAAACATACATACATATATATCGATATACCTATGCATATATGCATATATGCACACACACACACACACACACACACACACACACACACACACACACACACACACACACACACACACACACATACATATATATATATACATATATACACACATAGACGCACACACATACATATATACATACATTTGTAAATAACTACGAAAGGGAGATCAATAAAACGCATGAATATGAAAAGGCGCTCTGTTACTTCAGGGTATAAAGGATGAGATATGCATAGAGTTTCATGTAAATGGACTGAACAGCCAGGTTGTATCAATGATTAGATATGCGACGGCCCTGGCTAGTTCGTGACTCCCCGTCGTAGTGCTAAAGTTGTTAGTTAATTGTATGAACACCGATTCTATCACCTTTTCCTTTGCCGGAGGGTGAGGCCGCGTATAATGATAGAGGTTTGGGACCACTTCTGGAGGGGTTGCCGGTGTCGACGGGAACCACGAAGGCGATCCTCTTGTCGTGTGAGGTCGGAGGGCGCTGGGGTGTTCGTCGGTGTTGTCCTGTTTCGCCTATATACCTTGTCGCCGCCGCCGTTCAGTGCGTTGAGATATATACCTTACAGTAACTTTTTTTCAACCATGTCCTGAAGAAACAATACAGCGAAAAGGCATATATGTGTGTTTTCTTGTTTTTCACTTCGATGTTTTATTTGTAGTTTGTTCAGCGGGAGCTATGCACATATAGACACATACACACATAAAACATACATATAAATACATACACACACTTATACATAAACGTACACACATACATATACACACAAGCAACACACACACACACACACATAAACACACACACACGCACACAAACACACACACACACACACACACACACACACACACACACACACACACACACACACATACAAACAAACAGCAACATTCTAGCCCTATCCCTCTTTCCGGTTTCCCTCCAGCGCCCTTGTCTGCCATCCTTCCTACCTTTGAAGGGGGAAGAAAAATACAAAAAAAAGGGAAAAAAAAAGAAATGGAGGAGTGAGCCCAACCCTGATAAGAGCAGACATAGAGGCCGGTGTGATAACAGGCCGCTGGTGACCACTTGGGGCCGGGGGAGAGGGGGGGGGGGCTCGCTTTTTGGTTTGGATCTCTCTTTCTCTGCCTGTCTCTTTCTCTCTCTCTGTTTCTGTCTCTGTCTCTTTCTATCTCCCTCTACCCCTTTCCCTCCCTCCTTCTCTCTTTCTCTCTCCCTCCCTCCCTCTCTTTTCCTCTCTCTCTCCCTCCCTCCCTCTCTCTCTCTCTCTCTCTCTCTCTCTCTCTCTCTCTCTCTCTCTCTCTCTCTCTCTCTCTCTCTCTCCCCTTCTCTCTCTCTCTCCCCTTCTCTCTCTCTCTCTGTCTCTCTCTCCTTCTCTCTCCCTCCCTCTCAAACTCTGTTTATCTATCTCTTTTTTTATCTATCGATCTGTCTCTCATCACACTTTTCTTACCCCTCCTCTTCTCTTCCCTTTCTATTCTTCTCTTTCCATTTCATCCGTATTCTACACTGGATAGGTTATAAAACTGATCGGTCCTCCTGGCGAAAGGACCCAAAAAATGAAACCTAGAAATAAAAACAGTAAAAAAGAAAAAGAAAGAAAGAAAATGAAATGTGAAAATAAATTCTAAAAGGGAAAAAAAAGGTTTTATTTGAATTTATAAGACCAAATCTGATTTTTCCCCCTATTCTCTTTATGTATGACGTTGCTTTGATTTTTTTTTTCTTTTTGTTTTTAATTATATTTAGCTTTATTGATCATTGTGGGTTATAGGGAATCATAAAGGATTTTTTTTTCTTTGGATCTCAGCTCACTCTTTCAGATACTCATTAGCTTTCACTCTCTTCCTTGATCTGTGTATCTGTTTACTACTTGTCACTAGAGCTCTCTCTCTCTCTCTCTCTCCTTCTCTTTCTCTCTCTCTCTCTCTCTCTCTCTCTCTCTCAAAGTACTCGTGTGGTAAAGGAAGTGTTGATTATCTGCACAACAGCTGTTAATTGATATTCGTATCAAATTACGCTGCACACACACAAAAAATGCCTGCAGTTTTCGATGAAATATGTTATAATCCGATTTCAGATTT